CGTGTGCAGAAGGGGGCAGGTGACCTGGGGCTTCCCTTTGCTCTGCCCAAGACCTTCCGGCTGCCTCCCCTGTGGGGTTCAAGCCAGGGGTGTCCTGTGCTGGGGGTACTTGGCCCAGGAGGAGTTTATGGGAAATCCTTAGCCTTTGGGAACAAGGCATCAGCTGGGAGTTGGTTTCTCAGCTCGGCCAGCTCCTGGAAGGCACGGGTGGGCCCCCACTCCCTTGGGGTCAGGACTCGGGCCCTGGGCGGCTGGGTCTTGCTGGGCCACACTCAGCCGCACAGCTTGGGGGCCCAGCTCCCCACCCAGCACTTGTTGGGCCCTGTCCACTCTGCTCAGCACTGTGCTGGGCTCCTCTCTCGCCTGCACTTTCTGGGAACGGCTCTGCTCCAGCCACTTGACTGGGCCCAGGGGCGGCACTTGTGGGCAAGGGTTGGGCGTCGGGCCCATCCTGTTAGAGTGAGGCTGCCTGTGGTTTGAGGTGGAAAGCCAGCGGGCAGCTGTGCCCGGAGGACGTGCCCTCCCGTGTCGGGCGCCGAGGCCAGCCCTGTCGGGGAGCGTTCATGGAACTTGCCAGCCTCTGAGATGCCAATTTCCCCTGAGCCTTGGCCCAGCCCCCACATCGGGCAGCCTCGCCCCAGGTGTCATCCCTGCCTGGCTCCGGGGGCCGCAGTTCCAGCCTGTGTCCCTTGCAGGCCCTGAAGTACTCCTTCCAGACCCACGACCGCCTCTGCTTTGTCATGGAGTACGCCAATGGCGGAGAGGTAGGGCTCCTGGCGGGGCGGCCCTCTCTGAGCCTCAGGGTCCCTCCCTAGCGCAGGGATGGGGCTGCCACCCCGGTTGCAGGGGACCTGCCCTCGCCCATCCCACCAGGAGGCTCAGCCCCCCTCCCCGAGTTCGGGTCTCGGCCTGCCCACGCCCTCTGCCCTGTGACCCTGGCTCAGGCTCAGCCCCCCGCCCCCCCACAGCTCTTCTTCCACCTGTCCCGGGAGCGGGTGTTCCCCGAGGACCGCGCCCGCTTCTATGGTGCGGAGATCGTGTCGGCCCTGGACTACCTGCACTCGGAAAAGAACGTCGTCTACCGTGACCTCAAGGTGGCCGGGCGGCGGGTGGTGGGCACGGGCGTGGGCTGGGGCCCAGGGGGGCGGGGGCTGGCCCGCGGCCAGGGCCGACCGGAGGCCTCTTCCCCGCAGTTGGAGAACCTGATGCTGGACAAAGACGGGCACATCAAGATCACCGACTTCGGGCTGTGCAAGGAGGGAATCAAGGACGGGGCCACCATGAAGACCTTCTGCGGGACCCCCGAGTACCTGGCCCCAGAGGTGTGCGCCTGCTGCCTGCCCTGAGCCCCCAGCCCCTGGGTCCCGGCCGCCTGTGACCCTGCCGTGTCCCCCAGGTGCTGGAGGACAATGACTACGGCCGCGCCGTGGACTGGTGGGGGCTGGGCGTGGTCATGTACGAGATGATGTGCGGCCGGCTGCCCTTCTACAACCAGGACCACGAGAAGCTCTTCGAGCTGATCCTCATGGAGGAGATCCGCTTCCCCCGCACGCTCAGCCCCGAGGCCAAGGCCCTGCTGTCCGGGCTGCTCAAGAAGGACCCCAAGCAGAGGTGAGTTGCCC